ATGGTATGTACTAAGGCAGACGTTGCCAAAAAATATTTTTTGGTGGATCACATTAAGTTTTATAATAAATATAAAGTTTTAAAATATAACATTTTTAATATTAGATTACTTTAGAATTCATAAATATAAATATAAATGAGAAAACATGTATTATAATATATATAAATATAAATATAAATGAGAAAACATATATTATAATATGTATAAATTCAAATAAATATAATACAGTATTTTCTTTGTAACTAAATCGTATAGAATGCATTGATGTTCGAATTTTATTTAGTTTCAACATTGATCACTATCCACAACGATTACAAATGTACCTATGACGTATTACCATTACGCTGTTAGAGTTGTTAAACTGGAAGTCATCTCAAAAATAGGATTATCTACGAAAAAGAAATGTCATTAATACGTTAATGGTCAGCAAAATTTTAACATTTTCCAAAATGGGTCGTACCGTGAAAAAATCGGTAACCTCTGTACTAAGGGGCGTAATAAAGGCAATTTTAAAGACATTTTAAGAAAAATAAAATAATAATTCAAATCCTAATTCAAAATAATTTAAATATTATGCAGGTACTCGCCATGTATTTTTATTAATTGTTGCATAATTTCAAAATTATACTTTAGGAAATTCTTTAAAACATATTATGTTGATGCTATTACTGCGACTGTAATGCGATCTTATTGGAGTTTAGATAAACTAAGAGGTCTAAGAACTAAACACTTAATAAGTTAGAACAAAGTTTTAACACAAATCAAAAGAGGATAATATTTTGTAGAAAAATATGACATACGTATCCATTTTTTAACTTAATATTATTTAAAACCTGTTTATTTTACAATTTAGGTTACAAAGATAATTTTTTGTTTTTCTCATATCATTAAATAATAATATTGTTATTGTGGCTTGGCGTGGCACGTTGGCTGCGGTAGCCTAACCTGCGAAATGCGACTGGGAGTAAGTAACGCCCACAGCTACTGCCTACTAGCTCCTGGATGGGTGACCATTCGGGTTCATAGTATTTAAAAACCTTGGCACACATACATGTGTTTGCTACCTACCATAACAACCGTAACAATCGTAAAAACAACTTATCGTACAAACCTTACCCCTACTACAGTTCATAATCCCTACAACAGCTAATGACCTTTGTCGTTTTTAAGTTCAATAAAAAAAAATAAACAAAAATAATCATATTGTTTTTCATACACAATTTTTAAGAATGAAAATGTTTTTTATTTTCATAATATGTTCGAGTAGTTATAAAATATAATTAAATTGTAACTAGAAAAAAACATAATTAGAAATGGTAAGATTATTACTAAAAATGGTTTACTGTAGTAGGCTTAGGCTATACTAATTTTATGTTAATGACTCTACTTATTCTATAGTGAAATTTAGTAATAATAATTTGAAGTAGTAATATTTTTCAATAATAATTAATAACTTTAAAATGTATCATGTTTTAAAAATGTTATTTGAATAATCCATATTATAATGAAATAGGTCTGGGTACATTTGCACTATACATATAAGTCTATAGCTAACCTAACCTTGAGAACAACTATTTTATAATCTGCATAGACTTTATGCTATACCATGTTTCATATACCAACACATTGCATATAATATTGTAAATAACTCATTCATACAATATGCAGTTATGTTATACTATATTGTTTATACACATTACTCAATATTAATTAAAACATCATTAATATAATAATATGTACCTCATAAAATATTATATAGTCATTAGGCAGTTAGGTAATGTTATAGGTTAGGTATTATATCATATTTCATACACAAATTACATAGGTAATACGTACTTATTACTCTCGAATATTAAAATACAGTTCATTATGCAATCTTTTTTTTAATATACAATTATTTATAACATTAGATTATATTAATGTTATAATAAGTAACATTAAAAAATATAAAAATATGTAAATGATTAAAATTGAAGTTGGAAATCATGGGCTATTATTTAGAAAAAAACTACTTTATTTCTTGTAGGTATCTATCATTATAGTCGTCACATATTTTTGTAATTCGTTCTGCGTAATCTATTGGTATTAAATGTCAATAGTATTTACTATTTAGTGTGAAATATTATTTCTATCTGAACTGAAACAGTATAGACTTTTTACCTTTTTGTACGAATATATGTACATTTTTATTGGATGGGATGCCTTCAAAGTAGACACAAAACCATTATGTATCTTTTATTATTTTCTACAGAACTCTTATTCCGGCAGATATGTTTAAAAAATCCATAGTGATTCTGAAAATAATGCTTGTCTTCTTTGATTTCGTTGAATCAAGACGTCCAGTCTTTTTATCCTTAAAATAATTTGTGAAGGGTGTTAACATTCTTCCATTTTTCGAATAAAATAGCATGCAATTATTAATAAACCTATCTTTAAATTCTCCTACTATCATCTACAATTCCTTCACACTTTCTTATTAGTCAATACAAGATTAGCTGAGCAATCATCCAGTATTAAGCACATCGTGAAGACTCGAACAGTACACCCCAGAAAAGGTATCATTTAAATTGCACTGCTGTCAAAGCTTGAAGCTTAAATATATCTACTATACGATAGTGTCGAGCTATGTCAGGTTGTTCCGATAAGGAATATTCGTCTTCCCGCTTTTAAGACACTCATATCTTGGACTTATTAATATATCATATTCCGTTAAGCTCAACAAGAAGGGCCAACAACTGAATAATAATAATATATTACCAATGTACTATCTTTTCCAAATATCCACTATCCAGAAATTGAGGTATATTCAATTGATCTGATCCTAAATCACTTAGACTTAGATCACATAGTACGAAACAAGTTCAATTATAGAAGTGATTAACACATAATCAATTAGAGTTGACAATAATATCGCTCATCGAACCACGATCAATCGAACAAGCTTTTAAGGACATACAAGATAAAAAACATCGTTTCACTACTGACAAGGTGAGTGAAGTTACTTATATAACTATTCCGGTCAAGATATATTTATAGATATTCTGAAAGGTTACAACATTATTTAGTAGTAGAGTACGAACTCCGTAAGCACATCAATATCGTGGAGCCTACCCACTTTTTATGTACCTTACCTACTATCCCTCTATATAATTTACTACTTTAATTTTATTCTACTACATATTCAAGAGCGATTTTTATTTTTAACAGATATTTTAGTTAATGTAGGTATAGAATCTATAGATTGGTAATATTATTTTTCATAGAGTGTCTATGTTTGTTATTTTAATAACTGTATAATATTATACATATTACATACCTAATATACATGTAATAAATAATTATTATACACACTAAAATACGATTTATCATTTACAGCTGAGTGAATGAGGTATAATTGGGTTCACAATAGTTTTATGTAATATTTTAAGTTTTTATTAAAATTTTTTTTTTGTCCTTAAAATAGAATAGTGCTTATTTAGTTATTTAACTTACTTATTATTAATCATTAGTCAATCGTACTTTAAGTTTAAATAATTAAAATTTTTCATTGGGTTTGGAAACGATAGAAAAATGAAAAGTATACCACCACTAAGCCACATTTTACAACTATATTGTCTAGTCTTGCCATTAAAATAATTATTAAAATAAGTCACCTAAATAAGTATTTAGAAACTGAGTTGTACAAAATCACTTCACCCGCGAGAATATTTTTGTTTTTTATTTCAAATACTCATACACTCCAGCTAACTATATATATATGATACATATTATTTTACACATTTTGCAATACAACATATTTTAACTTTAAACTAGATTTATGCTTTATAATGTGTACCTAACCTATAGACGTGTGTCAAACTCAAGATAGTTGGCTTTGGTTCTTACTTTATAGACAGCTGAATGTTGAACTTGACATCCTGGTGCCGTAACGCTATTACGCAATAAAGACTTTCAGACCACGTGACAGTCGACTGATGATGATTGATATTTTATATCATATTATACCTACCTCATCTCCAATCAGTTTTCATATAATTACACATAGCTATGTCTTGTCGACGGATAATCTCGTTTGGGGACACATTTTATCGTTATAGAAATATAGATTAGATATATGATTTTCGAAGATATTTTGATTTTTTAAATAATAATGCTTATCCGCCGTTCTCTCTCTCTCGCTCAATAACTTTTGTTATTGTAACACTATTTAATTTTTTATCCGGTTATTACGGTTTTAGTTACATTTTTAACAAAAACTCTATGATAACTGAAAAAAGATAACTAGCCAACATATAATTAAATCCAAATTCTTACTTAAAATTAAGTTAGGTTACCTAACATATTATACGTGAATACGTTTTTAGACAATTAAAACAAAATTAAAAACCAAGGTAATTATATGCTGTTATTTCGATAATAATAAAACATATCATACAAAGACTTGAGTATAACCCTACACGACTATAATATACAAATTCTGTCAGGGGGGGGGGTCTATTTTTTTTTCGTTCAAAAAACTGGAAACGGGTGAGAACTGTTTAGCACAATACTGCCACCCGATCCCTCATCATTTATTAGTCAAATAAACTTAAATTATAATTAATTAAACATATGAGGTAGCCTCTAACCACCCTGAAAAAGCTGGCCATCGGCCCAAAAAATGGCTGGTACCGAATTGGTTCCCGAGCTCCAACCCCACATGCCAAATTGGTTCCCGTCTGAAAAAGGTATTTTATTAAGGTAAGCCGAATTGGTTCCCGTTTAAAAAAGATATTTTATTAAGTTGAGCCGAATTGGTTCCCGTTTAATTACGCACATTTTACAGGCTTAGGACTGTCAACTTAAAAGTAGGCTTGGTTAAAAATGTGCGTTAATGCGTGTTATAAAAAAAATGATATAATATTATATACAATTTTGAATCGTTGATTTTGAAGTCAACTATAGTCATCACTAGGTGTAGGTACAAAATACAAATAATAAAATATAATAAATACAATTATTTAAAATCGTTGATTTGCAAATTTGAAGCAAACTTTCTTTAAGTATTTAATTCGCGTAAGCTTCTCATTTGTGTACTCAGTCATACAATTTTCCAAGAATTTGTTATTTTTTTCTTGTTTGCTAGTAAGTTTCCTAGTATTATTACTTCGAAATTTAATATAATTTAATGTCTGAATACTGTTTAAAGTCTCCATAAAATAAAATATATTAGGATGGGCAGTTGTAAATTCTTTATTCAGCTTTGAATGGAACGATTCGCAACAATTTGTAGTCCTATCAATATTTTTGTCAAATCTAGCCCAAATTTTCGGTGGAAAGATACTGTCTGACATTATGTATGTATCATGAACGTAGTCGAAGAACTGATCCAATTTTGGGCAGTAGGGTTTTATGGCCATCAAATCATTATAAAAACAGTCTTCGACATCTTCAGGTGATAATAAGGGCAGTCCAAAAAATAGTTTAAGAAGTTGTCCGATTTCTGAAGCATTATCTTTAAATTCATTTGAGAGACCAAACTGTTGAATTTTTCTCCACCATGACTGACATAAATGGAATCTGCAACCTCTAACTGTAACTTGCTGTAGCTGTGAAGTTATGGCACTATGGATAGCTGTTTCAAAATCAACGAAAACCGTGCCAACTGTTAGATATTTTGCGACCTTATGTAAAGCAAGTATGTAAGTGTCAGTAGTCTTGTTCGGGAGTAGGCTGAATATGACAGGAACATAGCTATTTTGTACCTTGATAAAAATAGAAAATAATTGGTAAAATTGCTTAGGACAACTTTTGAATGTTCCATCGACAAATACCGTAGTGGAACCAATTCGGCCAAACGGGAACCAATTCGGTTACTCCCCAAAAAATAAGCACATTTACCCTAACCGTCCACTACCTGTATGCCTGATGCGCTCTGCTACCTCCTTTTGTCCGAGTATCGTCTCCACCATCCTATCCTCTGCTTATCCGCTGACGCCTCAATTCGCCTTCTCCTCGACATATAATCTAAGAGAAGCTCCTGCTCCGGCCCCAGAATGATATCAGAAAGGGGGAGAGGTTCTTCTGGGTATGTTAATAAACAAAAATTTGGGTACAGGAAAATACTAAACAGATCTAACATCATACGTGAGATTTGCATAAAGTGTCGCTGCATATGTTTGTATTTTTTATTCGAAAATACATACGAGGTTTCTCCTGCAATTTGCACCCTGTAGTTATACTTACTACTTAGGTGCTTCTCGAAGTCATGTCACAATGGTTGAGACGTTTTTTTTTCTGAAACTTTAAAGTTTACCAAACATTGACGTTGAAAACACTTGGTTTCGACAGAACGGAGCAAATCCCACGGCACTCTACCCGAGTGTCGATGGCAGCAATCAAGATAGTCGTTCAGTAACTGCGTTATATCAAGCAATTCTGACATTGATTGGCCACCCCGTTCCCCAGGCCTATCTATCAATGATTTATTTTTTATTGTCTATTGTTTTCACAATACGACCGTTTCATTCACAATCATTTTAAAAAGACGGATCGGTAAAGAAATCAATAACATCCCACCTGATACATTGGGTAAGGCAATTCAAATTTCAAAAATCGACTGACTGAGTATATTATTCAACTCTGCAATGTTCAACATTATCTGATATTATTTTTAAACAGTGATTATTTTTCAATGTATAATGTTGTAGAACAATAAGCTTCCGCAATAAATAAATTGTTTTCATTTCTTAATCTTTGTAGTTTTAAATTGTCTCCTTTCTCCGGATCACCGAAAAAAAAAAATTATATTATACACAATTCATATAAGCCAAAGAAATTTACTATGTGCTACTTTTAAGCTGAAATGAAATTGTTGTTAAGATATTTATTCTTAAAATCATTATTGTGTGGATTTAATATTTAATGGGGCTTGAATAAATATTGAGTGTTTCAGGAGGGATTGATTACTGATTGTCGACTCAGGTGTCTCAGATCAGACGGTAAATGACACACAATATATTATAGGGTTTGTGTTTGAACTACAGCAGTGAAAAGGTATATTAACCATGTTAAAAAGTATTAGAGAATTTAAATAAACTAATTTCGTAAAATATTTCCCCCTTTTTTTATTGAAATGTGAGTATTTAACATACACCCAACAAAGTATAAAATTAAGAAAAATAAACAAACGTACATCAATATAGCAAATTTGCGTTAGATAGAACAAATTTCGTGGTGTTAAAATCATCACAATTAGGAGGGTGCTTACCAAATAATTAGAAATCAATAAAATTAACAGTTCGCTAAAAGAACTCTTAACAATATACGTACTACACTATAGAATAAGAATACGAGTTATTTTTTAAAATAAGTTAAATATTTTTTTAGATTCGTTGCAAAAAGGTTGGTTTTAAAATAGTGTATTTATATTATGTAATTTTTATCTCTATCATCACCTTAAATATTAAAATTTTGAATCTTAAATGTAGTTTCTTGTAGCAAATTGAATCTAGTTGGTACGGAAGGGGTGCTCGTATCTTATTAAGTGGATATTTTTATGCGCCCAAATATTTAGCATAAAAATGGATTATTTTAATGTAAATGGTTTACGCTGTATATAATATTACATGGCCATAAAAAAGTATACAGAATAATATAATGTAGCGTACGCAAAAACCTGGATACATTATAATATAATATGCAGACGACCGCGATGGTTGAACTGCCCGCTCATAGTAATAATAAATTCGAAAAAAAAACATTTCGTTTGTTCCGGCCCGGCAGCGAGTATTACAATAATATAATAATGATATTATAAAATATATATATATACATATATAATGAGGTGAGGGTAGATTTTGTGTACATAATCGCCGCGCGTGGAAAAGAGAGAAAAGAAAAATAAACGCATAATATAATTTCCCCGGTTACGGTGTTGGCGATTAGTATTCATTGCGTTTCATCGCGGGTCTCGCTCCAACACACTTCTCTATCTCTGTCTCTCTCTTAAGTCTTAATGCTAATTGATACGCACTAATCTGTTTAAGAGTCGAAGGGATTAAAATGTCTGCCATTGGATGGGGTGGTGGGCAAGGGGAAGGTCACGCGATCTCCGACGGCGATATAATAATGATATATATACACTTAAAGTGTCTACCGCAGCCCAGACGGTCCCGTATATAGTTTTGTGTCCTGGCGTGCTGCTACTGGTCACCGTTTAATGCAATATTGGGATAGGAACACTATACCACTAAACGATTGATGTAAATAACTGCGAAACAGTTTTAATAATATATTAAAAAATGTATTAATTAATTTAATTTATTGACCAATACAATAATTTTGGGCTTATAATAACAACCATGACATTCAAGTAACCCGAATATTCGTTCTAGATTAGCGAATATTTTTACCCCCATTATAATCATTAGATTAGTTAAATCCATAAAGTAAATCATTTGTTATAATAAATATACATATAATATATAAATAGTATTTATTAATTAAAACGTTTTGTTCTTTTCCAAGGTTCAGAGTTTTTAATCTTAAAGTCTCATTTGAAGAAAATTGTAAAATAGTCGCACGTAACACACACACAAAAGATAAATACACTCAATTTACGAATTGTTTGATGAAGAAATATCAAGTTGTGCTCAAAATATAAGAGTACAAAAACCAATTATACAATGCAATCAAAAAATTACAGGAGTACCTACGAAAGTACGAAACTAAAAATAGTTTTCAGTATGAAGTCTGGTGTGCTTTTAAAATGGTGTAATACCAATTTGTTGTTATAAATATTTTCTATTTTTGTTTCTTATATGAACACAATTTCGAGTAATAAATTTCCGTAGACATTTACCGTATTACATGATTGTGATTTACAATTAATGTATAAAAATAGAATATCTTGATACATATTGCAGTGTATATAACAATACTTTCTTTTAGTTACATAATAAATACAATATACATGATACTTATAAGGATCATTTTTATGAATTGCATAACTGTATATGTAATTTATTATGTATTTTAAAAACTATATTCACTGGGAACTAAAAAATAAATAACTGTTATGTATTGTATTATATATTGCAAAATATTTTTTTTTCACAGTTGAATTTCTAGTTACTTGAATTAGTATAAAATGATACACAAAAGGGTTAGTGATTATAACGATTACTATGTATATATATGCTTTTTATCAAATACTTAATGAATGTGTTTCGAAGCAAATTAATGTTACACTATTACCGTTAAAAATCAAAATTTATTATGGGTATTAATATTCATTTACCAGCGAGAAAAAAATGTTAAACTATAGTAGTATAGGTATATAATATTTATTTTTTCTCATAAAATAATAATATTAATTATATTTTGTCTATAGTATGGATACGATGCATGCGTATAACAAACACCCGTACGGTAATTTAGCTTGGAACTTTTCAAACGAAAAATGGCGCGAAACTAGGGTAGTGGGTGTTTTATAATACGTATTGTCACACATCCAGTAGTTTATTTTATTGTTATTTATTTAAAATTGTTTTCATTGTAGTTTTTCAGTTCCGAAAAACGCGATCGAGGTACGGCGACGGCCGACGATAATAAGTAAATGAACATAAACGTTGTGGCGGGAGCGCGACATCGGGAG